GCCCCCCCCCCACACTTGGCTGCTTGTTCCAAGCATAGGTGCTTGGCAAGTGGTCCCTGGCCTCCAACAGCCCTGGTTGTGGGCTTTGTTCCATCAAGAGTGACATCTACTTGCCCATCTAACCGTCCTCATTTTCTGATTTTTTCCTGCCTGTCCTCTGTGCTGCCAGGAGGTGAGGACAGCGATGATGAGGAAGGAAGTGAGGAGGAGGAAGGAATCGAAGAAGACTGGGAAGACTCTGACATGGAGGAAGTGCTTCAGGTCCAAAACCCTTGGGCCAACCCAGGGAAGAGAGGCAAAACTGGATAAACATCTCACCCTTGCCCTTGTGGCGCTGCCTCTGTATTCCTCTCCCTCTGCCCCATTTGCCCTCCCCCTCAGCTAGGGCCTTGAGGCCCCACATTGCACTTCTGGGGGGTGACCGACTTCGTACACGGGTTTGAAGTTTATTTTTATGGTTTAGTAATTGCAGAGTTCTTATTTTGGGGGAAGGGAAAGGGGGATTCCCCCTTCCTTTTGGCCCTCCTCCCTCGCAGGCTTCTGTGTGCTGCTACGTATTTATTGTGATGCCTTGGCCAGGGCCCCTCTTTCCCCCTCCTCGTGCTGTATGGAGTGGACACCCTTGATCCCGAAGCGGGGAGGGCTGCTGTGGCCTTGGGGGGCTCTGCTGCCACCCTGTTGTCCTAAGTCTCTCTCTTTCCCTCACCTTTCCCCGCTGTGCCCGCTAGCCCGCATCGGTGTCTATGCAAGGCCGCTTCGCCATTGCGGTATTCCTGCCCCCCACCCCCAGAAGCCCTGCCTCATTCCCTGTGAACCCTGGTAATCCTAATAAAATTCAGAGCAAATTCAAAGTGCTGCTTCGAGTCTTTTGTTCCGCCTGGTGCGCTGTCCCCAGCAGCCAGTCTCCCTTGCTATAGGCCTGCAAGCAGCTGGCTCCTATACACACTGGCCAGTAAGATGGTAGTTGCGAGGAGTTGGGATGGGGGGATTTGGCTGGCCAGGGTCCAGGTCTGCAGGCCACAGAGGTGTGGCGTCAGGCCAATGCGGACCTTTCTGACCAATGGCAAGATGAGACTGAGGAAGCCCCTCCCTCTCCCAGCGGCTGCAGTGGACTCAGCCAGGTATCAAACAGCTTCCCACGCCTTCCCCTTGCACACGCGCAGAAATGCTCTGCGCCCTAGAACATCCTTTTATTCAGTGATTCATCTTTTAATTTATCATGCGTCAAACCTTTCCTCGGGCCTAGTGTGAGCTAGGCGGGGGAGAGGGGAGCCAGAGAAATCCATTTTTCTCGCGCGCATGTAGTAGAAAAAAATATCAATTGGGACATAACACAAAAATGCAGGAGGGCTCTCTTGTCTTAGGGATGGGGTGCAGGGTCCCTGAAGCTGGGCCTGGGAAAGAACGCAAGGAAAGAAGGCTCAGGCCGAGGATTTGCATAGAGATAAGGGCAAAGCAAAGGGAAATTACTATGTAGCTGTGTGATGGGGCCAGGGGCCTGAAAGGCAGGCTCTATCTGGGAGACCTTGGAAAGGCTGAGAGGTTTTAAATTTTGGATACAGTAACTTTATTTCAAGATACACCAGAAATACCACCCAGATTCTTTCTGGATCATAATGACAATTTATGTAGCCATCTGCGTCGGTCTTCTGCCATACACCTCCAGAACTTACCATCCAACACCCTTATTTTGCTGGAAGGATTCAGATTTGCGTTTTAGAGAGTGCCCTCTGCTGGTTGCCAGAAGAATGGATTGGAGGAAGGGAGAGCAGTGAGCAAAGCTACAAATACCTCAGTTTGAGAGGGGCGTGATGGGGGTGGATATAGGAGGTTTTAAAAATAAAATGTTTTTTAGAAGTTTTAGATTTACAGACTTACTGCGAAGATAATACAGAGAGTTTCCATATACCCTACAGCCAGTTTCTCCTAGTGTTAACATCTTACATTAGTATGGCACATCTGTCACAGTTAATGAACCAGTATTAATACCATATTGTTAACTAAAGTCCATACTTCATTCATATGTTATTAGTTTTTATCTAATTTACTTTGTTCCAGGATGCCACATTACATTTAGTCATAATGTCTCCATAAGCTCCTCTTGGCTGTGACAGTTTCTCAGACTTCCCTTGTTTTTGATGACCTGGAGTAATCAACATTTGAGGAGTACTGGTCAGGTATTTTGTAGAATTTTCCTCAATTGAGATTTGCCTGATGCTTTTCTCATGATTAGTGTGGGGCTTTGGGTTTGGGGAAGAAAGACTACGGAAATAAAGTGTTATTCTCATTGCATCATATAAGGGTACGTGCTATCAATATGCCTTATTACTGTTGATGTTAACCTTGCTCTCCTGGCTGAGGTAGCGTATGTCAGGTTTCTCCACTGCAAAGTTACTCCCCCCCTTTCCATACTGTTTTTTAAGGAAGCCACTAAGTGTAGCTCATGCTTAGGGAGTGGAGGGCTCTGCTCCATCTCCTCAGGGCAAAGTATCTACATAAATTTATTGGAATTGTCCTGCACTAGAAATGTGTCTATTCTATGAGAGCTTTTAAGATGCTGGAATTGGCAGGCTCTATTTTTTTCCATTTTAAACAAGAAGTTTATTTAAACAATAAAATGCTGGACATGAAGGGAAAACTATCTAGGATTCATTTCCTTCAGAGTAATTTACCCCTACTTAAAGACAGATTGCCCTACATGTAACAGCTATGTATAAAATAGTTATAAAATTGTCCTTGGTTTTACAATGATAAATGAAAAACATTAAAATTCTCCAATTGAGCAAATTATGCAAGGATTTTTATGTTCTTTTTTTGTTAAACAGTGAGAGCAGAATAACTTGTTGGAATGTAAAGAGCTGAATGAGCATGCCACTAATGGAGAAAGGGGGTATTTTTATAGAACCAGTATTTCCCTCCATCCCATCTCCATTTGATGTCCATCAAAACATACCATCGGCTATTTAGTTAAAAATGCAAATTCTTGTGCACACACATGAGTTACTTTATGTACAATAAAGGAATGGGAAAGGAGGAAATGAAAGAATAAAGAAAACTTTACTGTAGTAGTCAGGATGTAGTGGATCCAAATTGTGGTTTTATTGAGATTGTCTTCTTGATCTGGAGGAACTGAGTTCTGGAGTAAAGTAGCAGGTTCCCCTTTTAGTAGATACCTCCTGTCTGCTGCTGGAACACATCAATTGTATCTTCAGCCTCCATTTCCAACTGTGCAGGTGTGCCTGGGTCACTGATTGACTGCCCATCAAATCAGGATCTGATCTGCCTCATTGACAAACCCTGTCGTTCACAGTAGGCTTTCATTAGTTTACTAAGTGGCGTATGCCTCTTAATCTCATACTGCACCACAGAACCATCCTATCCCACCACCTTCAAATTAATATGATTGGTGTTCTCAATCTTGATTCCTTCCTTGGGCTTTTTGTCAGCCATGGCAAGTGCTGGAGTCTCCTCAGCATCAGCTTCACAAAAGAGGTACCAGGCCCACACCAAACAAGCACACAAGCAGCACCAGGAGTGGCAGAAACTGACAGACTTTAGATATGGGAAAAGAAGGACTGAGAGAAGTCAGGCATGACTACCAGTTGCTGTGGAACCTTTGGCAAGGCCCCTTTCTCTCTGGGCCTCCTCTGTGAAATGGTTGGAATACCAGATCTTGGACATACTGCATGATTTTGATAAATGTTTTGGGGAGAGCATGGAGGCTTGGATGCCTCTAGTTCTGACCTGGGGCCACACTGTCAGAAGTGGGTAGAGGAGACTCTGGCCCAGAAAGGGGAACATGTTGTCAGAGCTGAGAGTGCAAGATCCTGAGTCAAGGGATCCTATGCACAGGGAAGAGACAACTATGTGCAATGTCTGGAGCCAGTCCCAATGAGCAGGTGGTGAAGTGAAGGGGAGGAGAGAGCAGCAGGGGCAAAGGGCCTGGGGTGGGCCAGGAAGAGGTGAGCTGGAGAAGAGGATCCCAGCCAGTCTGAGAGACAAATGGCCTGGGTATCCTTGCCTCAATCTGCTCTACCTCACAATGTGGCCCTCTCACCCTCTCTAGAGGGCCTCAGTTTTCCCATTTGCAAACTTAGGCTAATCATGCTTGAGCATTAGCCCAGGAGAAGCAACCTGCCTAAGTTCCCAAGATGGCATCCAGCCTTGAAGTAGACCTCTGAAGCCTGGCCTTCATCATGCTCTTCCCTGATTCCTCTCTGTCTTCCTAATCAAATCCCCAGCCCCTCATTCTGGTATTTGAGGCTCCTCTTCACCCACCCTGTCAAAAAGGGCCTTTGGCTTCAGGGACGCTGTTAGGAGCTAAGTATGGGATTCTAATATAGTTAGCCAGGGTGCTCATGTCCTGGCCTGAGGCATGGGAGAAGAGAATGTTCTTTGCCTAGAGTGACATCTTGTTCCGTGTGCCCTCTCTCCTTAGTGTATGGTGTGGCTTCAATTCCTGCCATGTCTGGTCTCCAAAAGGAATGGACTATGCTAGAAGGTCTTTAAGGTCACATCCAACTCCAAAATATAGTCTTTGCTGAAGACCAGAGAAGATGGGCCCCATTTGCTGGGACCCTAAACAGAAACCAGGAGGAAGACCAGGAGGAGGAGGAGAAGTCATGGACCCAGTGCACCCAGAGCCTGTCCCCATGCTGAAGCTAATTGTCTTTGTGTCCTTCACAGCTCACTCCATTCCTCTGCAACAGAAGGCCCTGCTCCCAGGGGTGAGGTTCTCAGAATCGCCTGGGGCTAGACTATTAAAATGTTACCCACTTCTGTGAACCAAAGATTGGCAAAATTAAACCATAACTAGATTCAGGACTATCCCTGCTTCTTAGGTCACCAAAAGGGCCAGCACTGACTCCCTCAGTTGGGGGTATGTTAGGAAGGAATCCTATTATTCATTCAGTAAACATTTATTGAGCACCTACTGTGTGCCTGGTACTAAACTGGGTGATAAGAATATAACAAGAATATACCAAGTCTTTGCTCTCCTGGAGCCCAGAGTTTAAGACAAGTATTTTTATTTTAATTATTTTTGCTGTGACTGTATTTTTTTTTTTTTAACTTTCTTTTAAAAAAATTCTTTAAAAAGTTTTAAATTACAGTTGACATACAGTATTATATTAGTTTCAGGTGTATAACCCAGTGATTGAACATTATATAACTAAGAGATCACCTAATACATTTTTAAAAAGATTTTTAAAGTTGATTTTTAGAGAGAGATGAAGGGAAAGGGAAAGAGAGAGAAACATGGATGTGAGAGGGAAACATGCCCTGAATCAAACTGGCAGCCTTTTGGTTGCGTGGGACCATGCCCAACCAACTGAACTACACAGGCTAGGGCAACCCTGATAAATCTTGTACTCATCTGACACTATACATAGTTATCATAATATTATTGACAATATTCCCTATGCTGTTCTGTGACTACCAATGTGTTCTTAATTCCTTCACCTTTTTCACCCATCCCCCCAACCCTCCTCCCATCTTTTGAAAACCCAGTCCTCTAACCTCCCGCCC